CACTGCCAGGCCCTCAGTGCCGACACAGTCCCCGGGGAGGCTCGCCACCTTCTTCAGCTTCTCCAGTTGCTCTGGGGTGGGCGCTGGGCCATCGCCTTGCTCTGTCACACAAGCAAACAAACAGGCAGCTGAGAGGGTTTTGTAAACCCCAGAACACAGTGGGATCAGTATGGGGACAAACAGGGTCCTAGCAACCAGCCAGGTGTAACAGTTTGCTTCCAGTTTGGGCGGTAGACAGGCTCCAGTGTGGGTCTTGACGGTGAAGATAAAGACCAGACACTCAGGACTCAGCATGGTTCCCAGCCTGGAGTGAGTCCTGAACTAATAATCTGAGCACATGTTGTGTACAAGCCTTCGCTTGACCATCGAGCCTTCAAAACCAAAGGGAGCAGTAAGGTAATCCCGAACCCATCTCTCTCAAAGACAATTAGCAAAAGGTCTGGGGATGTGGGCAAGGCCCTCACTTAGCATGTGCCAGGTCCTGGGCTCCATCCTCAGTGTGTGTGTACACGCACGCATGCACGCACAGGAGGCTGAGCAAATCTGACCAGCTCAACTTCACAGATCACGCCCAGTCTCGGGTCAGCAGGTGGACTGGAGCGGGGTGTGGCTGTTAGGAAAGTTCAGGGCATCCACTAAGGGCTCAGAACATATGTGCTGAATAGATTCACGGTACATTCTAGAGGGCCAAACCAAGCCCTCTAGAATGGAGGAGACACCAGCACTGCAGAGTTCTGTGATGGAGACAGACCAATCTTGGAGTGCAAAGACCTGTGTAGGCTTTTCTGTAGCCATGATGGAGGTGCAGCCTCCAAGCCCAGCCCTCCATTGCTGAGCCACAGACCAAAGCGGTCACCACACTCCATCTCTGGTGGCAGGTGGCAGGGCTCAGGGGCGGCTGGAAGTAGTCCCGGGAGGGCTCTCACTTGCCCTTGGCTGGCTTGGCCGAGAAATGCTATTTCTAGTGAGGAGGTGTGAGCCAGAGAAGAGGGAGCATCCTGGGGGTCAGGCCATGGGGCAGGGGCCCTGCTGACACAGCCCAAACAGCCGCAGTCACCGCTCTTCCCATGCCCCAGCAGCAGCACCACAGGGGCCCTGGGCTACGTGCATGGGAAGCCAGTGCTGACACCCCAGAAGAAAAGCATGGTATGGTCCGACGCTGTTTCAGAAACAAGGAATTCCCTCTCCTGAAGTCAATCCTGACTGGCTAGCGCCAGAATGCCCAGGTTGCTACTTGGGGAGCTGAAGCTATGAGGTGTCTACCACCTCAAGTTATTCCTAACTGTCCTCTGAGCCGGGCAATCACCATCTTGGGGAATTCAGCGGTGCCCCCTTGCAAAAGCGATTATCCCAGCTGGGTTTGTTGACCGTGCACCCCCTCACAGAGGTGTTGGGAGGTCACAGGACCTTCGCCTGGGCATCGACTGGCTCCCTACCACAAGCTGTATGCAACTCTGCCCAGCAGCATATGGCTGCAGGGAGGGGCTAGGACAGCTAGGATCCATCTATGTGACTTCCGGAAAGGCATCATTCCTACCAGGGGCACCCACACCCCAATGGGTAACCCCTGATCCATACTCAATAAGCAAGCCCAATGAACTCATTGGTTCCCCAGGGTGAGCTCTGCTGGGACCTTAGGAGAAGGGTGGGTGTCGTTTATGTTCCCCGGGGAGGAATTTTAGCAACGCTTCATTAGTATTGATTGGACTTGCCTGTAATAAACGTAAGTTCCTTCGGCCTTTTAAATAATTTCTAGCAGTGCTGGAGATTAAACCCAGGGCCTCGCATATGCTAAGCGTACACTCCGCCGCTGGGCTGCCCCAGCCCTATGCTCAGCAGCAACCATAGACTAAAGGCAGAAACTGAAAGCTTCTCGCCACAGCACCTTCCCCAGGATCTAAGCAATGTTGATGGCTGATGCCTCTTCTCCAGACCCTCCTACACATGTACACCAGCTTACACTAGCATGTGTGCCATTTCATAACTGTGACACACCTTTTGTTCTCTTTTATCTCGTTTTCTTTGATGTGGTCTTGGGTAGCCCAGACTGGCCTCGAATTTTACCATACAGCTGAAGCTGTTCTGGAATTTCTGACCCTCTGGCTTCCACCTCCTGGGTACTGGGAATACACTAGCTAATATTGGCTAATATTTCTAGAATCACCTAGAAAGCATACCTCTGGCATGTGGATGAAGGTGTTTCTAGAGAGGTTTAAAGGAATGGAGCTGTGCCCAGCATCCATCCACTCATCTCTCTGCTTCCTGACTGCAGAGGCAACGTGGCCGGCCGCTTCAACATGGAAGGCCGGCCACCCTTCCTTAAGTGGCTTCATCACAGCAACGAGAAAGGCAATGGACACCACAGCGTAAGGTTTTCACTCTACATGAGTCTGAATGATGTGCCCCCAACAGCCAGAGGTGTAGGAACAAGTTTTCACAAGTTTAGAATGACCAGCTGAGCATAGGGGCACACGCCTTTAACCCCAGCACTTGAGAGGCGGAGACAGGCGGATCTCTGTGCATTTCAGGACAGCCTGGTCCACAGAGTAAGACTGCCACAAACAAACAAAACCGAATCAAATACTAAATGAGTAAAACCAATTTTTTGAGGTCAGAGGTCAGAAGAGAAACCTCTTGGAACGGCTATCCTCTGGATCCCTTACAGACAGCCTGAAGTAACTACCCCATCACCAGCTCCCCACTTTCTTCAGGGGCCAGGCTCTTACCACAGCTGGCTCACCCCTTTGTACTAACCAAGAAAGCTTGTGTCCAGCAGTTGAAGCTCGGCTACATCCCAGACCTGTTTAATACCAATGTTTGGTAAACTGAGGCTCACTTTCCCATTGCTCTGTGGTCGAAGCAGTAGAAACGTTCTCAAGTTCAAGGCCACTGCCAGGGCCACCTACAGGAAAAAGTGCAGAAGCAGTAAACTGAGGGTGAATGGCTCATGGCCCAACATCCATGTTTCAGAGATGCAGGCGGGAGGGTCCCTGGGGTTCACTGGCCATCTAGCCTTACCATTCCAGAAGGTTCTAGACAATGAGAAGCACTGCCTCAAAATCTGAGGCAGACAGTGCCTCCTGAAGAACAATACCTAAGTTCATCTCCTAGCTTACACACAGCACACATGTGTGTGAGCACACGCACGCACATGCACAGACAAAACCATAAAGTGACAGTTGCAGTGAATGGAAAAAATATAAGTTTTGAGCTCAGACCCACTCAGGCTCACACCCAGCCTTGTGTATAATGTGCTTGGTCACGTCACTAATTCTCTCCCAAGCCTCAGTTTCCCTCCCTGTAAGACAGAAGACTACGAAGCTGCACCCCTGGGCTAGCTCCAAGGATTAAATGAGATAATGCATGTGTTCAACACCTCTACCAAACCTTGTCTCCGATTCCCAAACACCGGGACACCCCAGAGTCCACTCTTCTGAGCTCTTTTCCCTAACACGAACTTTCTTGGTGATTCCACTTAATCTGTGAGGGTTTTACATGCCATCTTTCTGCCATTGTACTGGGTGGTCAGAAGTCTTTTAGCATTTAAGGTTTGGCTGGAGAGATTCATCCAGTCCACCCCTCGGGCCTTTCTTTTACCTTCTTCGAATTCAGAGTCAGAGAGAAGTAATACTCATTTCTTCAGGGCTCTGGGGACTTTTTACCTTGCCGTGGACAACAGCGTGTTCTCCATGGAGAATGACTTTCCCGGGAGCAGATATCAGCAGGACTTCTGACAACATGGCTCCTGAGACTCCTGAAAGGGAATAGCAGAGAGAGGAACAAAGGTACCTAGATGTTAATTAGTCACGTCAGGAAGGTTGGGCTTTGTGGCACATGCCTTTAATCCCAGCATTTGGGAGGCAGAGGCAGGAGGATCTCTGGGTTTGAAGCCATCCTGGTCTACAGGGTGAGTTCCAGAACAGCCAGAACCATGTAGAAAAACTCTCAAATAGAAAAGAAGAAAGAGAGAGACAGAGACAGAGACAGAGACTGAAACTAACATAAACTGCCCTGAATCTGTTTCCCACATGTCAGATAGGGCAACATTGGAAACTGATATCAAAGGACTGGGAAGTAGCAGTGTCTGTCTGCCAAATAACTCCTTGACTAGACAGCTACTCAGCACTGGCCGGTTCTTGGCTCCAGCATTTATTGCTATCACTACTGAAGGTAGAAATTGGCATGGCCTCCGAGTGCATCGCTCAGTAGTGAAGAGCTTGCCTACTATGAAGAAGGCCATGTGTTTGATGGCGTGGTAAAGGGAGGTTTTCGTAAAATTTTAAAAAGGAAAGAATTATTCCCGGACATCGCGACCACAGCCAACTGTCACAATAATAAGGCTGCAGGACATACCTGTTATGCCCGGTGTTGCATATTTAAACAAGTACTTCTGCAAGGTAGAGTCTCACTGAATGTTTCTGCTGGATTTACGGGCGCATGCATTTCTGCATTGTTATAACTAAGGCAAAATCACCCGCGATTAAGACTTCACTGGAACTCCCTCACACAAACCATCCCACTACAGACTAAGCAAACATTGAGGCCCCCGTTTCTTAGGGAACTGTCCGATCTGATGCCGCCGACCGCTCCGACCAAGGAAACTAAGGCAGAGGAATGGGGCGCCTGGCCTGCGGTGTCCGGGGCCCCGGTCCTCGCGCCGCCCGCCCCGCAGCCCAGGGCTCTCACCTGCCGCGGCCAGCGTCCAGGTGTGCAGAAACCGCAGCCGCAGCTCCGGATCTTCTCCATCCCGGAGCGCCCAGCCCCACGGAGGCGGGCGCGTCTTCCCTCAAACCAATCAGAGAGCTCGAACCGAGGATCCCTTTACGGATTGGGTCGAATATTGACCAATGGGAATTTCAAACACGCCGGGGTTTCCCCGCCTTACTCTTTTCGTAATCCAATGGGAAACAAGTCCCGGGGAGTGCCCCGCCCTGGTGCGATGCCGCAGACCAATAGGAGACGGCGATTGAGAGGTGGCGCGGCCAACTGCGGGGCGGAGTTATCCCCGAGCCTGGACGGAGGCCTCGCGGGGTCAGCTCTGGACTCGTTGTCCCACGCATGGCTGTGTGGGTGTTTGGGGGCCGCCTTGGCCTGCGCGGGCATCTCGGCGCCTGCAGGCTGCTGTGTCCCCGTTTTCAGAGCCGCAGCCCTCAGGGCGAGGAAGACAGGAACAGGTGAGTGTCAACTCCAACACTTGCGGGGGTGGGGATAGTTGTATTGGCTCCGTGGGTACGTCACACCGATGACGTCACCGGGACAGCATGGCGTCAGAGACCAGAATTTCTTGGCACAAGTTCTAATACAGTCCAGCAGTGGTCAGTCAGGGCAGGGTATGTCGGTGCGGGCCATCAGGGCCCTCTATTCGAATTTTACCCAGTGTCCAAAGCGATTTATTCAGATTAGTATTAGGACTCCAGATACTTTCTAAGACATGGTCGCACTTTGAAACTTGTACCCGTAGACTTCCAGGACCTTAGAACCTGCAGACTAACATGAACTATGTTAGTCAATGTTTCCTGCCAAGTTCTCAGACTTTTGAAGAAGCTTGTAAGGTTACATTTTAATTGTAAACTACATATTTAAGTTACGCGCTGCGATTTGAAAATGGCAGTCTCCTGAGGGAGAGCAAGGACTGGGGATGTGGCCCAGTGATAGAATGTTTGTCGATCATGTCCAAAGCCTGGGCTCCAAAAATAAAATAAACAAATTTAAAAAATGAAAATACAATTTTATTTTTTAAATTCTATTTTGTCAGTGTTTGTGTGTGTGTGTGTGTGTGTGTGTGTGTGATATTTGAACCCTTTTAAAGCGCAAATGGCTCAGTTTTCTTTCCCCACGAAGCCATAACTTTGTGATTGAGGAGTGGAGTTAGGGTGGACTAGGGGCAAGAGTTTGGGGAGGGTGGTGACCTGGGTTAGACTTAGAGTAGAACAGTCCTGGGTATAAATCCCAGCCCTGCCTCTTCCTGGAGATCCAGGGAGGTGAATCTTGGTGGGCTACCATTTCTACAAAGAAGTTAATGGCTAGCTTTGAGGGTGTGGGAGAAGCTGAAGGGTAATTACAGGAGCTAGTAGCTTTAGTTCACTGTGGAGCTAGGGCCATCTGGAGTGATGGGTTAGTTCCTCCAGCAAATATTTATCAGTCACTTCATTGAACAGTGCACTACAGCAGTTACTGTATAGGTAGAGACATGGACACCTGGGGTATTGTCTAGAAGGGATGGCAAGGAAAATGGTCGACAGAAGATTGCCATCGAGAAGGGGGATAAATGCTATCGCAGAGGTTGCAGCCAGCAAGCTGAGTGAGGTGCACTCTGCAAGCCATTCCCCCTTACTATGTCTTGATGTCTATTTCCCATTAGGCTGCAGTCATCCTCGAAGGCACCCAAGATCCCCAAGATTTACACCAAAACAGGAGACAAAGGTAGGGTGACGATGAGTGAGAAATGCGGCAAGACACACAGCAGGCATCATCTTAAAGTTCTTCTGGCCTCGCGGTAGCCATGTGCCGTGACACGAAAAATGCACAGACTATTATTAAGTGTTTAAACTGTTATCAAGTTGTAAAGAAGCTGGGAATAGTGCACTTTTGTACTGCCAACACTCGGGAGGCTGAGATAGGAGAATCACGAGTTCAAGACCAGCTAGGTTGACATGTCAGTCTCCAGGCCAACTTAGGCTACATAACTAAACCCTGTCTTGAACTAAAGGGAAGACAAGTTGTGGGACTGGAAGTGTAGCTCAGTGATCGAGTGCTGGCTAGTATTCTGGATGTCCTAGGTTCAACCCCAGAACTGCAAAAAAAAAAAAAAAAAAGGATAAACAAATAAGCAAAACCAGTGTGGCACAATCTAAGAACTCTGAGTCATGGGGTAGGAGGGATGGTTAAGAGCCTGCACTACTCTTTCAGAGGGCCCAGTGTGGGTCCCAGCACCCACATTGGGTGGCCCACACTTCCTATAATCTTAACTCTAGAGGGATCCATTGCCTTTGACCCCTGGGCACCTGTACTCATGGACACCATTCCCGCTCCCCACCACCACCACGCAATTAAAACAAATTAAAAACTTTTAAAAATAGCTTTTAGTTCACTTGGATTAAAAGTTGAACTGTAGGTATGGTGGTATAGACATGTAATCTTGGGACGCTGGATGCAGAGGATGAGCTTACATCACTGTAAGCTCAAGGCCAGCCTGGGCTACAGAGTGAGACTGTGTCTCTAAAGAGAAGAAGAAGAAATTGTGTGTGTATAGTGTGTGTGTTTATGTGTTTGTATACTGGGCTACATAGCAAGTTCTAGGCCAGCCGGGGCTACACAGTGAGACCTTGTCTCTAAAGAAAAGGGGAAAAAAGCATGTGAAAGGGGACTCAGATATGTCTGAGAGGTTATCTCTTTGGATTTGGGTTTTTAGTTATAATTTATTTTTTGGGTGTGTCTATGTGCCTATGCCACAATGCACTTGAGGTCAGAGAACAACTTTCAGACGTTGGTTCTTTCCTCCCACCCTGTAGTTCCTGGGCATAGACTTGGGTCATCAGGCTTGGCCGCCCCTTTACCAGCTGAGCTGTCTCTCTGGTCCTGAAAGAGTTAATCTTTGACTGGTAGCCAGGAGAGAGGTTGAACTGTGGGAGAGAGAAATACACAAAGTTCGCATAGTTACTATTTTTTTTTCAAAACAAACATTTCGTTGCTTCAAAAAAAATTATTTTTTGATACTCGGTTTCTCTGTATAGTCCTGGAACTCACTCTGTAGACCAGGCTGGTCTCAAACTCACAGAGATCCACCTGCCTCTGCCTTCCAAGTGCTGGGATTAAAGGCATGTGCCACCACTGCCCGGCGCTTCAATATTTTAATCAATGCCAGGTGTAGTGTAACAAGGAAACAGACCACTGTGGCACCATTTTCTGAAACTTAAGACCATGCAGATTGTTAACAGCCACTGTGCTTGGAGCATGTCCTTCATGCCGAAGTATGCCAGTGCATAGGGTGTGCTTCCCGCCTCTGAGCTGCAGGGAAACAAAAAGTTGGAATGTAAGTACCACAAGTATGTTACTGTAACGACAGAAAGAAACCATGCATAGCGGTGGCAGATGTCAGTTGCTGCTGTCAGTGCTTTCCACCAGAAAGGTCTGGGGACAGCCTCCAGTCAGTCACAGATGGGGCACTTGGCTCCCTAAGGTCCAACCATGGAGTCCTGCAGTAGCCACTGCACAGGACTTTCCATAAGTGAAGGATGTCCTGACACAGGGGTGGGGCCAGGGAAGCTTTGTTCTGGATCTGATGTGGTCAGGAAGCAGCTCAGAAGGTGGGAGAGTCAGGCAGATGGGGGACTGTGACAGACAGAGATGTAGCCGTCATTCTCGTTAGCCAGGAGAGCTGTGTGACTTCTGCCCTGGCACGGCTCCTTTGATTTGTGGGGAGTGGTTTGTCACAGCTACGGTGTGGATATCTGTGGTGCCCTGTGGAGCCATTTGTGCGTGACAACAGTGCAGTGGGCTGTCTGAGTGCCTAGCCAACACCAAAGCCACGCTTCCGGCACTAGGCAGGAGCTGTGACCTACGCTGAGGTCCAGACTGAGTAATAGAGAGACAGCAAGATACCACAGGTGCTTTACTTCTTAAGCAAGAGGCCTCATTTGTGACTCCTAGTCTAAATTAAAAGCATGCCAGGGAAGTAGAGGGGACACCTTTGGTGAGTAGTGACCAAAAGGACACTTCATGCAAATGGTCCATAGACATACATGCAGATAAAACACCCATATATGTGAAATAAAATAAATATTTTAAGTGTATCGGGGAAAATCTGTTTTTTATAAGATTCATTTGTTATTTTTATTTGATGTGTACAAGTGTTTGTCTACATGTATGTCTATGTACCATGTACATGCCTGCTGCCTGAGAAGTCCAGAAGACAGCATCAGACCCTGGAACTAGAATTGCAGATGGTTGTAAGCCACCACGTGAGTGCTGGGACCTGAATCTGGGTACTCGGCAAGAACAGCAGGTGCTCTTAACCACTGAGCCATCCCTCTAACTCCTGCCCCTCCCCTCAGACAACCTCCAATTCTTAATGTGCTAAATATCTTCCCCAGGGTTTTCCAGCACCTTCACAGGAGAGCGGAGACCTAAAGATGACCAAGTATTTGAGGCTTTGGGAACTACAGATGAACTAAGTTCAGCTATTGGGTAAGGGGGCAAGGATGGACCTTGGTGTGAAGTTCACCTGTGGCATTGGTGGCTGTCATCATTGTGACATTCTCCTGGGTGCTGGAGGATCTGGAAGATTGCCTGGATGAATCTGTATGAGCTGTTAGCTCAGGCTGGTCAGTTCCATGGGTCTGCAGGGTATAGGTCTGTCCCTCTGTCACCACAGGGCGGTCCCTTCTTCTCACCATCCCTGGTTCTGTCACTTGGAGCACACGTGTACCATCAGGAGACAGGCTGTGGGGGAAAGAGGTGAGGTCAGGTGATTGTCAGTGCATCAGGGGTGGCCCCCCTGTGAATGGATTTTAAAGTGAGCCAGGGGTTAGAAGCCTTGCTCAATGATTCCCGTCCTCCGCTCCCAATCCCGACTGCTTATCACACTGAAGGATTATTTCCCACCCTCACTTCCAGCCATTGCACGCTGGCTGCACCGCTGCCAAATATGGCCTCTGTGGAACCCTGATGATGAGACACCTATCTGGGGCGGTCCAGGTCCTGGTGAGGCTCGTGCTGGCTCCTGAGACTTTCTGTGTGACCTCTCCTTCCCATTGCTCAGAACTAGTCACATCCTGGCTCTGTGGGGTGGAAAAGGCCAAATGCATGTGGATGACCACACGGTGGGCGTGCTTGGTCACACCGAGGGTGTGAACACGAATAGGCCTGAGTGCTGCTCCTCGAGCTCTTGCCTGACCCTGTGGTCACAGGCGTGGGGATCAGGAAGGTCTGTGTTCAGATTCTGTACCGTCCATTAGTAGCTGTGTGACTTCAGGTCAGACCCGATGCCCTTGTTCTGAACCTCAGTTTGCTGTTCTGTGAAGTGGCTGTGGTAGTCCTTTCCCTCTGTTCTTGTGAATTAGTACAATAAACCTGCATCTCCCTGATTATCTTTATCATTGCCCCGGGAACTCCCAGGCTCACGGCTGCCAGGTGCCAGGAGTGTAGTGGACAGTGATGACAGATGTGCCCCAGCCAGCATAGCCTTTCCTCGTCATCCAGAGGGAGACAGATGTTAGGAGCAGACCCAGTGTGTGCTCTGTTCTAATTGGAAGATTTGCTGTTCACCTGCTGCTCCTTTTTCTGCCCTCTGGCCTCTCTGCCTGGATGGATGCTTGACCAGAGGAACTGCCAACCCTACACCCGATGTACTTCGCTTCCACAAGGGTCCAGCGGTGGGAGGCAGCAGTGGGCAGAGAGAGTGTGCGGAGGACAATCTGGGAGTGTGGACAAACTGTTTGCCAGCCGAGCGTGGCCCTGGCAGGCTCTCCTGTGCTGTGTGGGTCCTGCTGCTCACCCTCTGAGTTCAGAATGCACCCGCGTCCCCTCCCTTGCCTCTCCAGGCTTCTGCGCTTGCCACTCTTTACCGTCAGTCATCGGTTCCTGTATCTCTGCTTGCATCTCCGAGGATTGTCCCTTTGAGAGTCTGTCTGTCAGGAATCCTTTCTGTATGCCACCATCTGTCCCCTGCCAGGTCTCGCTGGGTGCAAGAGGGGAGTGCAGCATTTTTGACCTGTGTCTGGGAAGTTGTCTCTTCGTCTGTCCTACTTTACCACGGACTCCTGTTCATCCTTCAGAGTCCCACGGTCCTCTTCACCCCTCGTCATTCTTAACCTCAGCCCTGTGGTTCACGGCTCCCTACTGTATCAACAGGACCAGCCTGGGCATGGGCAGAGAGGAACAGCTACTGGGGAGAAAGAACACAATAAAAGCACTCCAGGAAGCCAATGCCCCGTCTACGTGGTGTTCTCTTTGTCAACACGAAAGACTGCCATGGTCACTGTAGGTCACGTTATCTTAAGACCCCACAGCATTCTGTTACGGGCTAATTTTTCCTTGTCCTCCTAGGTTTGCCATGGAGGTGATCACAGAAAAAGGCCACACGTTTGCCGAAGAACTTCAGAAAGTAAGTTACATCATTTTAGCCTACATTGTGGCTTTTTGTCCCCATGACTTGGGGTGTCGCTGACTTCCTCCTCTGCCCGTTGCTTCTTTGTGCCACGATAGCTAATTACTTCTGAGAACCGCTCTGTCCTCATTTCTGAAGTAAGGACACTTAATCCTCCGTGAGGTGAGGGGTGGTGTGTAAAGGGCGGCTCTGCTCTCCAGAGGTGCGTGTCACATCTGGCAGAGGGAAAGCTGCTGGTGTCAATACCGTACATTGCATAGGACAGCATCTTGGCAAAGAACAACCAATGCCAGTGACCATAGCCCAGGCTGGAGAACGGCATGCTCGGGAGCCCAGCCGTAAGTCTCAGCCAGGCGGAGTGTGCTTGGTAGTGTTGCTGTTGAGTTCCAGCGGACCTGCCAGCCAGGGCACCAGCAGCATCTCTCTAGACTGCCTTGGGGTGCTGCTGTCTCCCAGACATCACTGTAGTCTGCCTGGGGCCTGGAGCAACGGGAGTCCTTCCTGAGTCCTGTCCTGCCAGCCACTGCCTTCCACATCCTGTCCTTCACTGTTGAGGTGGCTCTGGCACATTTGGTCACTTTGTTCATTGAATTACAACTCCAGAACTGTCAGTGTAGAGAAAGAAGGCAGGTATGTGGAAGCCAGAGCTCAGACCAAGAAGGTGCCTCTTGGCTAGTTCTTAGCAGACCTTTGCTCCCTCAAATTCCCCTCAGGAGGCCACATCGTGCTTAGTTTGGACAGTTTGCCTTTGGATGTGAATTCAGAAGGTCTGTTAGCTCCTCACAGCCTAATGTGCACGCTCTGCTGGTACGCTTTGTGGCACTCTCCACTGGCGGCTCTGTGGCACGCGCTGCTGGAATGCTCTGTGGCTCCTCTGCATATGCAATAGTGTAGTACGGTTGCACAATTTCCACCCAGCCTGCTACTGATGACCTTTTATCTCTCCTCTTGTTCCCCAGATCCAGTGCACGTTGCAGGATGTTGGCTCTGCCCTGGCTACTCCACGATCCTCAGCCAGGGAGGCTCACTTAAGTAATTCCCAGCTCTGCTCAGGGAGTTCTTGGGGTCCTGGGATAGGGACCGCCCCTTAGGGTAGGTCCCCGGGCTGTCTGGCAGGGCAGACAACTTGTTCTCTGCCTTGGGAAAGAAGTTAGCTCAAAGCTGATAGGAACTGTTGGCAGGATACCATGCAGAAGGAAAGGGGTGTTTCCCGGGTGTACTAATGGCATACTTACAGGAGGCCTTTCTGCCCCTGACTCCTCAGAACACACGGCCTTTGAGGAAGGGCCTATCATGGAGCTGGAACAGTGGATTGACAAGTACTCCAGCCAGCTTCCCCCACTCACGGCTTTCATTCTGCCTGTAGGTATTGGGGGGCTCAACCTGAGGTGGCCAGGGTGGGTGTAGTAACAGAAACACATGGGCTTGCCATAGTTCCAACTTTGACTTTTACCAAAACAAAGCCACCCCCAGTACCCCAGCCCCTTTTCCTGTCCACTTGAGGGGCGTCCCAGAGGTGTGTCTGGTAGGGCTCTGGGAGGCAGAAGACTGTCCAGTATGGAGCAGTGCTGGCCAATGCTCACTTTCTCTTTCAGTCTGGAGGCAAGAGCAGCTCAGCCCTGCACTTCTGCCGGGCCGTGTGCCGACGAGCCGAGCGACGGTAAGGGTCCCAGAGGCCAATGCAGGAGCCTCATATCTATGCCATCCGACCCTTCCCTCGGTGACTTCATCATGTCATTTCCTGAGTTCCATGTCGTGGAGGGGACTGTGATAGGTGACTGCATACTGCTCAGAGGCCAAGCAGAGTTTCCCTCCTCCTGAGATTCACAATAAGCCAGTGACATATTCCAGGCTATGGGGGGTGGGGGTGGGGACGGGAAACAGAGATAATAACATGAAAGGACCCTTCTGGAATTAGGCAGAAAGGACCGTAGGGGCCCTGTGGTTAGGGAGGACCCAGGTAGAAGCTGTCCATAGTCTAGCCATCTCCTGCCTTGTCTCATCTCCAAACTCAGAGTGTTCACGGTCTCACAGTGAACACTCACAGTGCTCCCCTCCCCAAGAGTCAGGGGAAGCTAAGTTAGCAGGACCTCCCAACAGATTCTGTGGCTGGGACCGCCCTTCCACAGTCCCTCACATCACAAGAGTTTTGTCCTCCACAAAAGGCTCTTAGACCTAGACATTCCCAGATGCATCTTGGGTAACAAAAAAAGCTTGGGCCTCCAGAGAAAAATAGTCCTTTGTACAAAGTCACCCGTATCACCGGGGCTTATAGTAGCGAGCAGTGGGAGTGACCCATAGGCTCAGCACAAGACTGAGCTGGTGTTGCATCCTCTGTGTGGCAGACAGGCCCCAGCCACGGCAGTGACCCGCCAGGATGCTCTCGGCAGATGGTGACCTAGGTGAGGCAACCATGCTGCGTGGGAGGGGCCTCCAGGCCTGCCTAGACATGAGACTTCTGGGGCACTGGCCAAGTACATCATCGTGGATAGGGCCAAAACACCCCAGGCTGGCTCGGCGGGGAGTACCAACAGGAATCAGGCAGTGTGTGGGTGGGGGATCGGATGGGATGTTATCACACTATGACATCCAATAGCCACACTGTCCCAAGTATATGCACACAGACTGGTGTGGAACTTCAGGCATTTAGAATTACAACTTAGAACAGTAGTTCTTTGGGGACTAAGGCCCAGATAAACTTTTTTTTGAAGACTAGAGGCTGGCAGCCCTGCCCACGTAGGAGCCTAGACTGTGCTTGTTGGCACAAAGGACAGCAGAGTGGACTATTGCCAGCCTACTCTCAGCTTACCTGCTGTGCCTCCTCCTTCACTGGCCAGGCCACATTATGTATGTCCAAGGGAAGGGGTCAGCTGAGGTGATGTGGACTTTCATATGTGGTTCATAGTTGTCAGGGTTAGTTTAAGTGGTGAGGTCAAGTGGTGCTCTGTGTCCTGGCTCCCGTGTGTTGAGCCTGGCCATGGAGCCTGTCTGTGTCCTGGCTCCCGTGTGTTGAGCCTGGCCGTGGAACCTGACTGTGTCCGTGCCCCGGCTCCCGTGTGTTGAGCCTGGCCATGGAGCCTGTCTGTGTCCGTGCCCCAGCTCCCGTGTGTTGAGCCTGGCCGTGGAACCTGACTGTGTCCGTGCCCCAGCTCCCGTGTGTTGAGCCTGGCCGTGGAACCTGACTGTGTCCGTGCCCCGGCTCCCGTGTGTTGAGTCTGGCCGTGGAACCTGACTGTGTCTGTGCCCCGGCTCCCGTGTGTTGAGCCTGGCCGTGGAACCTGACTGTGTCCGTGTATCCTCTCTTTACAGTGTAGTGCCTCTTGTCCAAATGGGAGAAACAGATGCAAGTGTGGCGAAGTTCTTAAACAGGTGCAGAAGTGGAGTATGGCGGGTCTCTGAACCTCCAGGCATGCTGTGAACCCTAAGAGCATCCACAGCTAAGGCCAACACCTCTCCCTCATTCCCTCCCTTGCTCCCTCTTCGTTCCTCCTCCCACCCCCAGTCTGTATGTTTGTGAGTGTGCTGTCTGCAGGCCAGCCCTGTCCCAGTCTGTGAGGTAAGGCTCTGGTTAGGAAATGTCTGTAAGAGCCAACAGAGGCAAACCTAAGTAAAGGGGCAGGGTGCTCTAAGGGTCTGTTCATGGAGACTGATGCCCAGGGCCTTGATGGTAACCAACAGGAAGCCTATCCCGCCAACATCTCTATCTGAAATGCCCTAGGTGGTCCACAACCATGCTGAGCTCAGGTCCCAGTGCCGTGAGCCAGGAAATCCAGCAGTGCCCTGCCCTGTGGTCAGCCTCTGCACCACAGCTGCACCTCTGCTTCCCACTGCAGCCTGACTCAGACATGGGCCAGCGGAGGGCTTAAGGAAGGTGGGGGCTGCACCCCAGGAGCTGCCTAGTCATGCAGTGACCTCATAACGCCTAGTGATGGGATGTCCTGTGTTACCCCCACTTTCCCCAGTTGTAGACTCCTTGGATCCCTGCCCCCTGGGTGGGATGTCACCCAGACTGAGTGAGAGACAGCTCCTTTTTAACTCAGAAGCAGCAACCCTGAGGAGACCCACTGGGCATCTAGTGTTGTGAGGGTCAGGGTCATCCCCTCCCTGCAGGTTCCCAGAAGTCATCAAGAAAGCAGCATATTCTTGTCCTAGGAGCACAAGGTTCAGAAGGGCAGTGTAGAATCCCGTCGTCCTGACAGTCAGCAGTGGGCCCCGGGAGTTAGGAGTAGTGCACCAGATGGGAGGGAAGGGTAGGTAGGAGGGGAGCAGCAGGCATTGAGGAGAGAGTGGCAAAAGCTAGCTGCGAGCCTCCAGGGGCTGAGGCAGAGCCCTGTAAGTACCTCGAGCAGGTGTAGCATCACCTGGTAGTCTCTGTCCCTTTCCCTGCAGAAGGCCTCCTGTCCTGAGCCCATCACTGCTGGGTCTGCGGAAGAGCTAGGGATCTAGACTTTGATGAGACTCCTCCAGGCCACTGCTTCTCAAGTAGGGCATTAGCAGTGTCTAGAGACAGTCTGGGTGGTTGTGTCTAGTTCTGGGTACCATTGGCCACGCCGCATGCACAGGAGAGCCCCATCCATAAAGAATAAACCTAGACTCATTTAAGGCCTTTTTATGCAAAATGCGACTCCTGATCCTGTGTGGGATTAGGGCTGACCTGCAGACTCCTGGTCTGTGAAGCTCCCCTGAATCCCAGATGTCACATGCCTGTCATGGGAAATGGAGAAGCAGCTCAAGTAGCCAGCGTTTCTGGGCTCCACCCTTGCAGCTGAGGGTGGGCAATAGCCTGTGCCCACAGGAGCACTTCAGGAGTGCTCCAGCACCGCCGTCTATAAGGCCACATGGTGCTCCTGGGGTACGAGACTCACCTTTCCAGCTTGAAGACCAGCTAGGCATGAGCCAGCTGGCGTCAGTCTCTAACACCCGTCCTTGTTGCTTCTTTCCGCCCCTCCAGACTCAGCGATTACCTCTTCACTGTAGCCAGATATGCAGCCATGAAGGAGGGCAGCCAAGAGAAAATATACAAGAAGCGTGATGTGTGAGACATGCGGAAACGGTGAGCGAGCCTCAGAGGCTGATCTAGAGAGACCATGGTGTTAACAGACTGGAAGTGGGCCTGAGAGGTACAGACTTGGGATCACCTCACACCCCGTCTCAGACTCCTGCTGGCTTCCCCAGGCTGTGCTCAAGCACATGGGACTGAGTTCTGTACTGCTGGAAGGAAAGGAAGACTGAAGGCTACGAAGAGAAGGGCTCACTCAGCATTGGGAATGAACGCGGGGAATGTTTGAACCTCACACTTGGGGGGTGTGTATATAACAGAGAAAGAGATTCTGCTGCCAACTCAGGCTTCTCAAGGGTTTGGAATGTACCATAGGCCCCCGGAAGTTACCAGTGCCGACGGGGCTTTAAATGTCACGTTTATAAAGGGGAAGGCAGGCAGGCTTGAGGAGTGTAGTCACCTCTGAGCTGCCCATCACTGCCAGTGTAGGGGAAAGACAGCTGCAGGTCTACTGGGGTGCGGCTTGGAGAGTCCTCTCCATTGGGCAGTGGTGGGAGTGAGGTCTCCAGGCTAGCGCTGAGCCCTCTGCTGTCACACTGGGCTGGTGATGCTCCTGTGAGCCACACCACGCTGTGCTTTATTCCGCTTGTCACTGCTGCTCTGCACTATGAAATGACATTGCCAGTGGCGGCTGTGCCTTTGAGAAGAGGGATATTTATGAAAGGCTGAAGGCAGCCCTGAGAACTTAAGGATTCCACGCCTGCTGGTAGGTAGTGACTGCGGAAGCACAGGTCAGGGACGCTGGGCTCAGCTCAGCGCTCTCCACTGTGCACCTGCTTGGCTTCCATGCTAGGTGTGGGTGGACTGTCCTGTAGCTGCCTTCCTTGTTGGTCAGTCAGCAAGCATTTGACTTCATCCGAGTGCCCTCCCACCTTCTTGCTGCTGTTTCATGTTGGCAGCTACACACACACACACACACACACACACACACACACACACACATATCTATCTTCTGGGTTCTTTAAAGGGAGATGCTTGAGAAGGAGGAATACTTCCCCAGGAGGCAGTCCTGTCCAATGCCACTGCAGCCACCCTAGTGAGGCACAGATCGGATATGGAATTGGTGTTGTGTGTGCAAGACAAGAAACAGAAGCACAGGCTAATGGTACTTAAGCATCATGCTGTTTCAGGCCTGGGGGAAAGTCGTGTTCCAAGAGCTTGCAGCAGCCCTGTACTCAGCCAACAGCCACAACTCCTCCTAAAAAGTCAGGCTGAACTCAAGGAAATCGCAGCCCAGACCCCTAGCCTATGCCCTGAGTGTTTTCGACAGTTTTGTGTGGCTCTCACGGTAGATCTTAGCACAGGCTCCAGGCATTGCCTAGCCTTTTGCACACCGCCCCCAGTCCTCATGGGGCGATTCCCACTGCGTGCGGACACAGCTGCCGAACTGTTCTTTAAATTGTACCAATTTATCAATGACCTCTCTCCACTTCTGGATACCTCACTCCTTGAAAACATTGCAGGAAGGCTCCCTACCTTTTTTTTTTAAAAAAAAAATTTGTCAATAGCTGTTTCATTGAGATAAAATGCCACCTACCAGAAAATTCTTTCTAAAATGGACAGTCCAGTGGGTTTTGTGATGTTGCCCAGTTTTTGCCACCTCATAGCTCACACCCGTGAAGATGGCTCTAGTTCGGGACAGTATTCGCCTTCCTCAGCAGAGGTGCCCCCCTCCCCCCACAGTGGTGTATTCACTGTAGTTAGCAGAGGTGGACCCCCTGCAGGCTCCTGTTCACACTGGACCTCCGCACTGGGAGTGGGGTCACATTTCTGCAGGAAGGGAAACTGAGGCTCTGAACTGGCCTAGGCTATCTCATGACCCCCCACCCCCAAGTGCTCAGCAGTCATTTTAATCATGGCGGTGTCAGGCACTAATAGATCTGCCATGCGTTGCTCAGCCGAGTTTCCCCTAACTGATATTTCATGGCTATTGTTAGTGTGCATTTCTCACTGAGTAATTTCCGAGCTGAACTTGTAGCACATCCCAGTGATAAACATCCCTGGTTCCGAGTCCCCTGTCAGCTGCAATGTCACCCTTACCTCCTCCCGAGTCCCTCCCGACAGCCCATCCAGTTTTATGATCCCTCTGTCCCAGTGATCATGACTGAACCTTTAAGAATCCAGACGCATTTCAAGTTTAATTGAATAAAATTCTTTGTATAATAAATTCCGCATGAATGCTACATAAATCAATGCCTGGAAGGATTTGTGGCTCATCTCTCTCCCCAGATGGGGTTTGAGGATCCTGCTGGCAGTGCTGTGCCCAAGCTGGTCTTGTCTTGATCACCAAAAGGAATAAATTTGCCATTGGGGTCCTTGCAGAGGGTGTGGCTTCTGCTGTCAGCCTAGAATTGACCCTGGAGCCCCTCCTAGAAGATGGCACCTTTTCCAGGCAGGACAGAAGAGAAGCACACCAGGGGTCTGGGAGCTCCGGGAAGGGTTTCAGAGTCGTAGACGTTAGAGAATCAGAACTCCCAAAGCCATCATTTATTCCTTTGGAATGCTGGAGAAAGCTGTGCACTCACTCTCTTTAGAGTGCTGTACACATTCTTTCTAGGTTATCGCCAAGTTTGCATGCATCCTGGAAGTCCATGTAACCCCAAGGTAAGACTCCCATGCAAGCTGGGCACTGTGGCCCATGCCTGTTGTGCCAACTACGTAGAAGGCTGAGGCAGGTGGATTGTCTGGGCAGCATAGCAAGACCCTGTCTCAAAATAAGTAAATAAATAACAACACCCTCTTCAAAAGCTAAGTGTGGATCCGTGGAGCACCTTAGGGTTTCATGGAGCCCCCAACCTTGAAGGTGAGAAGGAATGTCTGGAGCTAGAGAGAGGACCTCCTGGGAGCCTTGGATGTCTGCAGAATCTGGAGGGACAGGGAATGACTGGCAGGCACACAGCTCCACGCTGGCCTCCTAGACCCTGAGAACAGGTCTATCACTTGCTAGCCTCTGAACTCTGGACACTGTGGTCATTTTTTCATCCTTCTCACTGCTTAAATGACAACAGTCTTCGGGCTCTGTGGTCACCGGGAGAGCATACATACTTAGGAAGTGTTTGCCAGGGCCCTGGCAAATGCTAGCTACTGATACTTGAATTCAAATTCCAGCTTTGTCACCTTGAACAATTCCTTTAACTACCGTGTTCTAGCCCAGGCTGGCCTGGAGCTTGTGATCCTCGCACCTCATGGCTCCTGCTCTAGAGCGCTGGTGGGTGAATGGGGTGTACCACTGTGCCTGGCACACTGGATAGCAGCAGCTTGCTGAGATTTGAGGCTGACCCCATTGGCCTGGTCGGTGTCATCGTTATGGCTGAGCAGCTTTGTCCTCTTCAAACCCATTCTGAGCCCCGGGTGTGGTCCCAGGCTTTGAGATCGGGTTTTGACACAGAGCCAGCTGACCTTAAACTTGTTATTCCCCTGCCTTAGTTCTCTGAGTGCTGGGATTCCAAGTATGTATCACCAACTCAGGCCACATACAGAGCTTTGCAAACCCTCACGCCCTGGGCTGGGGAGATGGCTCAGCAGGTAAGGCCACATGCCACAGAGCTGATATCCTGAGTTTGACACCTGGAGTCCACATGGTGGAAGGAGAGAACAGGCTCCTACAAGTTGTCCTCGGATTTCTATGCATGCACAGTACATGTGTGTGCATAAACACACACACACACAAGATAATTGTCAACAAAACCTTCACAGCACCTTGCCCACAGCAGCCCCAGCAAGCTGCCATTAACATCCTTGAATTGCAAACTAAGCTGGAGCACTGGGAAATGGCACCATGGCTGGCACTATGCAGTAAGAGGCCACTCTGGGATTTGAGCTCGGCTCTTCCTCTAGCCTTCTTACCTCTGCATGGGGAGCACACTATACCTGTCTTGCTGTGGTGGCAGCAGAGTCGGTCATGTTCTCCAGGGTGGCCTTCTTGGGAAGTTAGCTACTAGGGTATGGCTGGTAATTAAGTGAGGCAGGCTGCTTCTCTAGGAAAAGAAGAAAGAACTGAAAGCTCCCAGAGGACCCTGGTTGTCCCAGGCAGACGTAGCCGTTCCAAGGAAAATGAGAAATAGGTGCCAGTGACACAAAGGCCCCCAGAGAACCAACTCTAGACCTGGGGTGCAAGGTGACTTCTCCATCTACCAGCGCCCTAGAAGCAACTCCCCATGGCTGATCTCGGGTCACAGGCCCTCTGGTCCCCCCCCACCCCAGCCATCTGTAATGCCCACATCCCTCCCCAGCTAGTAGGTGCCTTTCTTTATGATCACCTTGGAAGGGTCGAGCAGACATATGTTGCTAAAGGGGCGTTTATTCTTGTTTATAAAATTTATGGCTTCACCTCAATTACACACTGTCAGAATGGGAAGGATCGGCCCCAAAGCCTCTTGCTGCCTGACTGCTTCAGACGTGCGTACATCTGTTAACTCCATGGGAGCTGTACAGGGGAATCAGGTCTGCTATAACTCAAGCTCGCTGTCCTGCCACGAGCTGTGAGCTGCAGGCCTTGGGCAGACACATCCAGGCATGCATGTGGGCAGGGAGGCGGCTAGCAGCTGCGATGGCCATGCCGGGTGGCCAGGTGCACAGACTGGCCATGGCTTCTGTCAAGGTGCTTTAAGCTGGGGAGGATGTGAGAAAACTTTTGTTTCCGTGGCCTTTGGAGTTCAGCTGTAGTATCCCAGCAGCTGGAGAGAGTTTTGAGCCCTTGGCTTTCCACCTGGCCGTATCAGTGGGAGAAAAGCATGCATCTCCAGTGTGGGAGGGAGTTAAAGGTGGGCATGAGTTTTAGGAGGAGATTTGGCAATATTCATGAGAGTGCATGTCCCAGGCCTGCAAGTCTGTCCGTCCGCCCAACATCTTAGAGGGAGATGTGTCACAGTGGGTTGCTCATTGAAGTGAAAACCGGACACTCATGTGCAAGATGAGGCAGCTGGGTGACTCAGTGAGTGCACTATTCAACTAAGGGACCATAAGAAATGTCATGACCTCTGTAGTAGGTGGGTATGGGGACCTATTCCAGAATGCTATGTAGTGAACAGTTTGGATCCTGTGAAATTGATGTGTGTGTATACACCACAGGAAAGCTGCGTGTTTAATGGTGCTAGCCTCTATGTGGGAGTATCATGGGTTGAGTTAACACTCTTTCCTTTTTTGTCTGAATTTTCTAACTGTTCTGCAGTGGATTTAGGTTAGATTTAAGAAGGGACAAGGGAGAATGGGAAGAAGTGAAAGCCAGGCCTGAGCGTGAGGCTCAGGTGGTAGAATGCTTGTCTAGCACGCACAGAGCCCTGGGTTTAGTCCCCAACATGGGATAAACAGATGTGTGTGGTGCTGCGTGCTGCTAATCCCAGGATTTAGGAGATGGAGGTGGTAGTATCAGGAGTTCAAGGACAAGGCCATCTTGGCTACACACCAAGTTTGAAGTTAGCATGGGCTACATGAGACCCTGGCCAAAGAAAAATAGACCAAAAGAAGGGGGGAAGATGGGACTGAAGAGATGGCTCAGAAGTTAAGAGCACTGGCTGCTCTTTCAGAGGACTTGAGTTCAATTCCAGGCAAGCACATGGTGATTCACAACCATGTGTAGTGGAATCTGGTGCCCTTGGGACAGCTGGAGTCACAGTAGTCCTTGGAGGATGAAAACCCCTAGGGCCTCCCCACTACCCATGAGTGCCCTCTGATATTATCTTAGGGTTCTACTGCTGTGGAGAGGCACCATGACCATGACAATTCTTAGAAAGGAAAACATTTAATTAGGGCTGGCTTACAGTTTCAGAGGTTTAGTCCATTGTCATCCTAGTGGGAACATGGCAGCGTGCAGGAAGACATGGTGCTGGAGAAATAGTGGAGAGTTCTACATCTGCATCCACGGACCAAGAGAGATTCTGGGCTTGGCATGGGCTTTTGAAACATCAAAGCCTACCTCCTCCAACAAAGCCATGTCTCTTAATCCTTTCAAACAGCACCACTCCCCGGTGGCCAAGCATTCAAATCTATGAGCCTATGGGGGCCATTCTTACTGAAACCACCAAAGGTACTGGCCTAGGGAGGATGTGCATGCAGCTGACAGGCTGGAGTCCAGCCTGTGAATGCAGCCTTGGCTTGTACTCTGGAGCAACTGAGGATGAAAGAAGTGATCCCATCCCATCTGAGTGCCTCACTGACGAAAGCCTCCTCCCATCTCAGCCAGAAGTTGAGGACACTGTTATCTCTCTTCTCGACCTGTGACGGCATCTTTTATTGGCCCAGATGTCAAGAGTACACAAAGAACTGTCATATTTATTATCTCATGGCTTTACATCCTGAATCCTCAGCTTAACCCCCCTGGACAAAGGGGTACACTGACAGGTGGACAGATGAGGCTAGCATGCCATAGTCAGCAAGGGCACAAGTGGGACCCAGTTCCCTGCTCTGTTCTGCTGTGAGCAGAGAGGGGCTGACCCCAGGAAGGGAAAGAAGATAATCCAGTAGATTACCGGTTATAAGGAAGAAGGTTGAGCCAGGAGAAGGAATTTGGTAATCTACTAGTAATGCCTGCCATGGCCTCCTAGAATAAGAACATACTTTTGATACTTCTACATTCTTAGGGTGAAACCCTCACTCATCTCAAGGAGGAGAGGCTTCGTAAGGAGTTATGGTCTCCAAACTGCCTCAGGGGATCATACTGCCCCTCCAAATCAGTCCCTCAAAGCAATGTTCAACACCTCATGAGAACTAACTAGCAGAGGAAAAATTTCCAAGAGCTTTGAGGTGACAAATCAGGGCCATAGATCTCTAAGAGCCAAATGCTTATAAATCTGACTAATTAATTAGTCAGCCCTGACGAGCTCCCCACCATAATTCAGCATCTGCAATTAGATTTCATATTAAAGCATGCAAATTTAAGATTAAAGCCAGTGAGAGACGGTGTGACAGGTCCACCCCCTCCAGCCTCTGCCATCCCGCACCACCAGCTCCTCAGGGTGCAAGTTCTAGAATCTTCCCTTCTGCCACTTTGTTTCCCAGTCCCCCATTGTGCTGTGCCGTGCTGTGCCCAGCGGGGTGAGGAACCAGTGCCAGCTCCTCTCCTGGAAGATGGCTTCATTTAAGTGGGGCAAACATTTTGGTTCAGGAACATTTGGGGACTTCTAGGTTGCAAAGTCCTGCAGCCGAAGGTCATGACGGAAACCTCTGTGG